AGTGAGCCGAGATTGCGCCACTGTACTCCAGCCTGGGCAACGGATCAAGACCCTGTCTCAAAAAAGTAAATAAGCCTAGACATTAACACTTTAAAGGCTAAATAAGAGAATTTATAAGAACATAAGCTTTCCCCCAAGATATGCGTGATATTTTTAATTTTTATTAGAAAATATATATCTGGCCAGGTGTGGTGGCTCATGCCTGCAAACCCTGCACCTTCAGAGGCCAAGAGGCAAGAGGATTGCTTGAAGCCTGGAGTTTGAGACCAATCTGGGCAACAGAGCAAGATTGTGTCTCAAAAAAAAAAAAAAAGAAAAGAAAAGAAAGAAAAGAAAAGTAAGAAAAGGAAAAAAAGAGAAAATATCCATCTTCGCATATTTTCTAGGTTAAAAAATATATATATGGGTGTATATATATGTGTGTGTGTGTGTGTGTGTATCTCCTATCATTTAAGATTTTTCTGAATTGGCCCTTGGGCAAAAAGAGTTACTGATTGTTGTTTTAAAGTACATTTAAACTCTATAGGTGTGATCTTTAGGCTTCTAATCCTACATTAATGTACATAAATATAGAATATAGAATTATAAGAGGTTTTTGGTGCTGTTACTCTTGTTCTCAGGCAGTCTGTATTGCTCCTCTGAAAGTACTTCATTTTGTGCTTATGGGAAAGAGGCACTTAGCACCAGGAATCTCTCTCTGTCCTCTGCCAGAAGAAACTAAGCGAAAATACAATCATATTTACCTTTTTAAAAAATTGTGAAACAATATACGTAACATAAAACTTAACCACTTTAACTATTTTTCAGGGTACTGTTTTGAGGCATTAAGTACATTCACCATCACCACTGTCTATCTCCAGAACTTTTTCATCTTCCCCAACTGAAACTCTACCTGTTAACCACTAACTGCCCATTAGAGAATGCCAACCTGTCCCTGAGGTGGAGAGGTTGTCCCTAGCAACTACTGTTCTGTTTTCTGTCTCTATGAATTTGACTATTCTAAATATCTCATATAAGTGGAATCATATATTTAATATATAAATTTACCATCTTTTTTTTTTGAGATGGAGTCTCACTCTGTCACCCAGACTGGAGTGCAGTGGTGCGATCTTGGCTCACTGCAACCTCTGCTTCCCAGGTTCAAGTGATTCTCCTGCCCCAGCCTCCTGAGTAGCTGGGATTACAGGCGTGTGCGACCACGCCCAGCTAATTTTTGTATTTTTAGTAGAGGCGGGGTTTCACCATCTTGGTCAGGCTGGTCTCAAACTCCTGACCTTGTGATCTGCCCGCCTTGGCCTCCTAACGTGCTGGAATTACAGATGTGAGCCACTGCACCTGGCCAAATTTACCATCTTAACCATTTTTAAATATACAATTCATTGACACTACTTACATTCACAATATCGTGCACCCCTCACCATCGTTTCCTAAACTTTTTATCACCCAAATGAAACTCGGTACCCATTAAGCAATAGTTTCTCCCAACCCCTGGTAATCTCTAATTTATTTTTTGTATGTATGAATTTGACTATTCTAGGAACCTTACATGAGGAATCGTATAATATTTGTCCTTTTGTGACTGGCTTATTTCACTTAATGTCTTTAAGATTCATCTATATTATAGTATGTGTCAGAATTTTCTTCCTTTTAAAGGCTGGATAATATTCCATTGTGTATATATAACACATTTTGTTCATCCACTCATCTGTTGATGGATACTGAGTTGCTTCTATCTTTTGGCTGTTGTAAATTCTGCTATGGTGAACATGGGTGTACAGATATCTTTTCAAATGCCTGCTTTCACTTTGAGGTATAAACTCAGAAGACCTTTTCTTTACCTCACCATAAATGAGGAGATACTGGGGTTCTAGTTGCTGTAGGAACTTATCTTGAAATTAAATATACTATTATGTTTTTTTTCTTTTGAGCATTTATATTATGGGGTATTTTCTCACTGTTGACATTATACTATTCTGGAGTAGATTCAAATTCGAAATATTTTGATTCTATATTTGAATCACTTCCGTAGGATAAAGTACATTAACTTGTTTGCCTCACCTATAGCAGGAGCAATAATTTTTAGTAACTCTGACTTAACATTTTTATTACTTAGAAATTTTTTGAAAATGTCATTAATGCCTATATTTATATCTGAAATGGAATTCTTTTAATTATTTTCAGTTTTTCTTTCTACATGGAATTTAATGCCTCAACTGAACACTGCCTTCAGGAAGACACTGAAAGTTCTTTATGCAGATGAATGTATCTTAGGACATAGTGATAAACTAAGTTTTATAAATGTCAGTGCTTTCATAATGCACAGTAGATTATTTTTTCATATACTAGGCACATAGTCAAATTTCTATGCCTAAGTTTTCATATTCAGTAAACTTACTAATACCTTTGTTCTATTTTGTTGACTATACAAAATAGGACTACAGTGGTAAGGAATAGCCATTGAGGAATCTTTTTGGAGTGTAATCTATTGAAGTCCTCATTTTCTTCATACAGGTACTGTTTTGCTTTCCATTTGTTACTGGATAGTTTAAAGAACATTTACTTTTTTGCTGTTTCCTGAGAAACCAACTCAGCTATCAAGCTATCAAAAATATATTAACATATTCTCTGTTATACATTGTAGTTGATTTCTCTGAGAAATTTATTTTAAAGTACATTTTCATACCTATTCAAAATGTGTAACCAATGGAGTCAGAAACTTCCAAACAATAAAACTAACACCTTTTATTGATTTATTTGTAACAAAACACTGCTTTTTGGTACCCTGATGGAATGGACCTGCAGCTCCCAAGTCTTTCTCTACCACTAGGTGGCTAGATTTTCCTTAGCTGCTGTAACTCTAGGGGAAAAAGAATTTTTTTATTTTTCCCTTCCGCAGTTTTGGCAAGCTCTGCAGATCTTGCTTGGTGTTTAGCTATTTGGATTCAGTTGATTTCCTAGGATATTTGTGCTGTCAGACACTTTGGGAAATCTAATTCAAATCCAAAACATTTAATATATATATTTGAATAACCTTCAAAGGATCAAGTCTAAGAACCTGTTCTGCTAACCTATATTGGAAATAACAACTTGAATTTTATGAGGCAGTCTTAGTAATATATGGCTTTTTAAAGTCACCAAAATTGTTAAAAAATATGTCATCCAAAAAATAACCTTTATGTTTATGTCTGAACTATAATTTTGCCCATTATTTCAAGTTTTCTTTCTGTGTGCAAAATTTAGTGGTTAAATTGCTCATGATACAAAGAGAAAATATTTATTTCTACTGTATCTTCATGAACTTCTGATGTTTTAAAAATCAATATTCATGGAGAAATAGGGAAGCATTTTGGTTAATTTTTTTATAATCCTTAGGTCAATTTACCTTTAAAGATTAAATAATGAGATTAGTAATTTTATTAGCACACTCAAAATATGAAAAATGTGGACATAAAAAGGGAGAGTTGCCACCTTATTGATAAAGACACCTTTAAAGATATTCGGCAAGTAGAATTCTAGTAAAACTACAAATGTTACATTTCAGGAAGAGAGTTTAGCTTAGGGAATTATCGTGAGATATATACAATTTTTTTTTTTGGACATAGGGTCTTACTCTGTCACCCAGGCTGGAGTAAGGGGCACAATCACAGCTCACTGCAGCCTCTACCGCCTGGGCTCAAATGATCCTCCCACCTCAGCCTCCCGAGTAGCTGGGACTACAGACATTTGCCGCCATGCCTGGCTGATTTTTGCATTTTTTGTAGACATGGGGTTTCACCATGTTGCCCAGGCTGGTCTCAAACTCCCGGGCTGAAGGGATTCACCTGCCTCAGCCTCCCAAAGTGCCGGGACTACAGGAGTGAGCCACCATGCCTGGCTGTATTGTGGTATATTAAAGAGCGTGTGCTTTGGAGTTTAATTACTGACTCTGTCACTTCCAGCTTTGTGACTTTTGGCAAATTACTTAATGTCACTGAGCTTTAGTTTACTTGTTTTGTAAAGGCAATATATGTAAAGCATTTACTACTGTGCCTGAAACAGGATAGGTGCTCAACATACATCATTCTCCGTTTAATCCACAGTTGTGCTATTAATAACTAATTCTCACTTATACTGGAGAGTCTCTACAAAAAAGCAGACTCAACCTATTATTAAGACTGCATCTGCAGGTAACTTTGCTAATACCAAGAGTTCAGGCTTTTCACAGTGTCCTGACTATAAAGGGAAAGTTTTGAAAATGTGTTTCTTCTGTTAAAATAATAGCAGCTAACACTTATTGATTGCTTACTGTGTACTAGTACTCTTCTAAGTTCTTTATGGATATTAGCTCATTTATTCCTCATAACAACCATATTTGGTAGGTCCCATTATTCTGTTGTTATCTCTGTTTTAATAGGATGCAGAAACTGAGGCACACAGAGATTAACCTTGCTCAAATTTACACTGGGCTGTAAAGCCAGGCTGGTGGAGGTGGGCTCCAAAACCAGGCAGTCTGGCTCAATGATCTGCATTCCTAACCACTTGCCTAAATGATTAAAACATTTTTGTATACATTTATACTGGATGCATTGTTTAATGGTGGAATACTTGGAGAATATTTCGTACTTATTTTACTCTTTTAAAACACTCCACCCTCCAAATAGTGGTTACTGTTGAAATGATTGAAATACTTATTTTGGAATTTCAATATATTCCTCTATTTTCAATAAAATGAAATTACTTTCAATTAAAATATATGGTTAGAAAGATAACAAAATGCTTAGGTGTTAAATCATTTACAAAAATAGACATTAGACATGAACCTTTTAAAGGCCTTTAAAATTATTTTGTTACTGTGTTGTTTTCAATAAATAACACCACCTAATTGGACTAAATATTTTGTTAGACATACAAAGGAAGTTCTTCAAATTTGGATTTCTTTCCAGGTTGAAAGAGGGGAGCTCCTTGAATGCTATAGAAGTGTATTGTGGTTGATGGCTTTTCTGTGTTTGAATTTGTTCCAGCTGTGCTACAGTGCTGTTCTCCTACCCACATGGATGCTCTAAGTAGTTGTGTCACTCCCACTGCCTCTTCCTATGCACACTGCAACTACTTCCAGGTAGGAGTCTTGCAACCGTGGCCATGCTCTGCACTTCATGTGCGATTTTATCGACCTTGCAAAATTTCAAAGTGTAATTTTATATTAATGAGTAACCAGAAGTAAGTTGTGGATTAATGGGCTTTGTTTTCTCAGTTCTTAAAAAAAAAAGGAGAGAGAATTGATGTAAATAATATCTCAGAATTCTTCTAGGCCAGATCTGTTCAGTATAGTAGCTACTAGCCACATGTGGCTATTTAAGCTAATTAAAATTACATGAAATTTAAAAATTCCTCAGTTATACTAGCCACATTTCAAGTACTCAATAGTTTCATATGGTTATTTAAATTAAAATTAAATAGATTTAAAAATTATTCCATACTTAAAGTAGACACATTTTGAGTGCTCAGTAGTTTCATATGGCTTATGGCTACTGAATTATACAGCACAGATCTAGAACATTCCCATTATTGCTGCAAGTTGTTTTAAAAAGTGCTGTTCTGGATTTTTCCAAGGTAAAATGAATACCAGATAAACTATACAAGTACATAAGTCATCAAATGACAGATTCTTCCAAGTTGATACAGATAATTAGACTTTTCTTTTTAAGGAGAAAGGAGAAAAATGTCAAAAATGAGAAATTTAAATGGTGGCCTGCTTTATTCATAGCCCATATGTTGTAAACACCATAGTGGTTCAGCATCCCGTATTCAAAATGCTTGGGACTAGAAGTGTTTCAGATTTTGGATTTTTTCAGATTTTGGAATATTTGCAAAAACATAATGAGATATTTTAGGGCTATGACCTGAGTCACATAGTTTAAAGGTAATTTCATACAATATTTTTTGTAACTTTGTTCATGAAACAAAGTTTGCGTTAAGTGCTTTTGTGCTGGAATTTTCCACTTGTGGTGTCATGCCAGCACTCAAAAAGTTTCAGGTTTTGGAGTATTTGGGATTTTGGAATTTTGGATTAAGGATGCTCAACTTTTACTTCAAATATCTTCTCATTATTTCTTAGGAGACACTTGCTTGGAGTTGAATATTTTATATAGCTATTTTAAGGATACTTTTAAATTCCATGCTTTGTATTTTTGTGCTATAACTGCTAAAGATTGGAATTGCGTGTTTGCCTTGGATAAGCATCTAGCCAAGATAGTTTCAGTTCTTAAGAGAATATCTTACTAGTGGCATTAGGGTACTCAAAAGAACATTCCTTTTTTTTTTTTTTTTTTTTTTTTTTGGAGAAAAATCTACATAGGAAGTCAAATTATAATCAGGTTGTTGTTTGAAAAGTATAGGATGAGGTCAAGGGGACTTAGCTGGCCCTTTTCATGGCTGATATGATCAAGCATGATATCCCAGTCCATTCATCTTCACTGGAGGGACACATCTATCCCACAGTTAGATGCTCTTGTTTGTGGGTCCAGGCACTCTCTTCTCTGGATCATACTGGAGATACTATGACAGTGTTTATATCTTGATTATGTTGTATGCTAAATGAAACATTTTAATAAAGACCTTTTCTTGTTATAGAGACAATATATGGCCATGTGTGGTGGGTCATGCCTTATAATCCCAGCTCTTTGGGAGGCCATGGTGGGAGGATTGTTTGAGGCCAGGAAATTGAGATGAGCCTGGGTAACATAGTGAGAGCCTCTTAAAAAAAAAAAAAAAAAAAAAAAAAAAAAAAAAAAAAAGGAGAAAGG